GGGTCTCACTCCTGCTCCATCTCTCCCGCAGGTCTGACAGCTCCTTCAGCTTCTTCGTCTTCTTTTTCGTCTTCTTCTGCCAAATAGCAATCTATGTCATCCAGGCTGTCGGCATTCCAGGCTGGGGAGACAGGTAAGCTAGGCTATACACTCACTGCCTGACAGCCCTGCCTGGGTGCTGCTTCTCACCAGGGCTGTGACTGGCAGAGCTGTGCGGTCCGTTTCTGACAGCTGCCTGTTCCTTCTCCCATGGTTTTCCACTCTCGCCCCGGCAGATCCCAGCTGGGCTCTTCCCATCCTAGTCCCAGCAAAGGCACAAAGCTTGTCGGTTGCTGCTGCCTTCCCCCTCGCTTAACACTTCTAATACTTATGCCCTCTTGATGCTGAGCCTCTAGTGCTGACCACGTCTGCCTTGTGTTAAAGTGGAGCCTTCATCAATATAGGCCGTAGTGTGGGGGTGAGGCATCCCTCGTCCAGGATCTGGGGACAGCTTCACTCCATATAGCCTGATCATAGAATCATGGAATCAACCAGGTTGGAAAAGACCTTTAAGCTCATCAAGTCCAACCTTTACCCCAGCACTGCCAAGGCCACCACTAACCCATGGCACTAAATGGTGACACTAAATCACTGATGATGGTCCTGGATTTCTCTTGTGTTGATGATGGGTTGTGCTTCAAGCAACACCCAGAGAGCGTTTTGCCCTCACCCTTTCCTGATGGCACTGTACAGAAGGCTGCAGCTGAGCTTGTGCAGTGCCCCTGCAGTTAGAGCACAGCCTCTCTTTTCGCCTTGCTGCTCAGCTTGCAGCCTCACTGAACACAGCAAAGGTCAGCAGGCAGGGGCCCCTCTCCCGAGGGGCAGCCTTCAGGAGGTGAGCACAGTGAATCTCTGCCTATTTTGGCCCGCTGCCTGCAGAAGAGCTCGTGGGCAAAGCTGTCCTCGTGCTCCCTCCCCTGCTCCTGGTGCTGCCGTAGCGGTGGGGACGGGGAGGGAGCTCTCCCCTTTCAGTGTGACTCGCAGAGCGTGCCTCGAGCCTGCTGCTGCCTCTTCCGCAGCCAGGCAGCGCATTTATTTTTGGCTGCAGTTCGTGGTGTGCCTCTCCCTGTGACGAGGCTGGAGTGGTGAGCACGGCTCATGGGACGCTTTGGCTCACTTGATTCCCCCTCTCCTGGTGGCACACGGCTTGCTTGGTTTAGCAGTTGGAAAGATTCCTTTCTCCAGCACCCAGGAGGGTATTTTTGCCCACAGCCAGGCACTGATAACTCCAAGCATCCCCCCTGCCCCTTCCACAAGTGCCAGTTTCCTCCTATCTGTAGCTCTAACTTCATCCCTTCCTTCCTCTGCCTCCCCCTCCTAACACTCAAGTCCCTGGCCATGCAGAGCTGTCATGGGGATATGTAGGTCTGGGCTCCAGATCTTCCGATTTAGATGTCCCAGCTTATCTTCACAAGCCTTGGCTGAATTTTGACAAGGTGCTTATGGAGGTGATTTGATTTGATTTACAGCAGCACCAAGGGTCTTCATTTTGCAGGTTAAGGGGGTGCAGCAGGGGCCAGGGCTGGAACGCAGGTGGAGTGAGAATGGTTCTCTTGTGTGGAGGTGGATTGCTTCCAAGAAGTGATAATGGAAACTGTCCCCAAAATCCTAGAATCCCAGACTGGTTTGGGTTGGAAGGGACCTTCAAGCTCATCCAGTTCCAACCCCTGCCACAGGCAGGGACACCTTCCACTAGAGCAGCTTGCTCCAAGCCCCTGTGTCCAACCTGGCCTTGAACACTGCCAGGGATGGGGCAGCCACAGCTTCTCTGGGCACCCTGTGCCAGCGCCTCAGCACCCTCACAGGGAAGAGCTTCTGCCTAAGAGCTCATCTCAGTCTCCCCTCTGGCAGGTTAAAGCCATTGCCCTTGGCCTGTCCCTACAGGCCCTTGTCCCAAGCCCCTCTCCAGGTTTCCTGCAGCCCCTTTAGGCACTGGAGCTGCTCTCAGGTCTCCCCTTCAGGAGCCTTCTCCAGTCCAGGCTGACCCAGCCCAGCTCTCTCAGCCTGGCTCCAGAGAAGAGCTGCTCCAGCCCTCGCAGCATCTCCATGGCCTCCTCTGGCCTCGCTCCAGCAGCTCCACATCCTCCATATAAAATGATGCCGGGTGAACTCTGGGTCCATTTCCACAGCTGTTATGTTTGGGTTTGCACCTTGCTGTAACAAAAGGCTTTTGTGCAGCTGTGGGTGCTGTGAGTGGTGCTCTCTGTGCTCACGCTGCTCTCCTGTCCCGCAGTGGGTGGATCGCGGCGCTGTCGGAGCTGCACGGGAACCTGGCCGTGGCCATCATCATGATGGTGGTGGCAGGATTCTTCACTCTCTGCGCGGCTCTCTCCCTCTTCCTCCTCAAGCAGGTGAGTGGCTCAGGGGTAGGGCGAGATCTCATCTCAATTGCAGGTGCACAGCTCAGGCTGCCAGGGATGGGGCAGCCACAGCTTCTCTGGGCACCCTGTGCCAGCGCCTCAGCACCCTCCCAGGGAAGAGCTTCTGCCTAAGAGCTCATCTCAGTCTCCCCTCTGGCAGGTTAAAGCCATCCCCCTTGGCCTGGCCCTACAGGCCCTTGTCCAAAGCCCCTCTCCGGGTTTCCTGTAGCCCCTTTAGGCACTGGAGCTGCTCAGAACCGTCTCCAGGCTGTAGGTGTAATTGGGGTGGTCAGGCCAAGAGCTTTAATCAATGTATTTGTGCTTGTGCTTCCTGCTTTGATGCCAAATGTCTTGAACACTTGCAGGAGGGACAGCAGCCTTTGGGGAAGGGTTGAGAGCACAAGTGCTCCAGTGAGGCACACCATTAACCGTGCAAGGTCCCAGATGTCATCCTCATCTCACATGGACCTTAGATTTCTTGTGCCTCCCTTTAGCTTGAGTGTGGCCAGAGCTGGCTGAGCAGAAGCCATTGCTTTGTTCACATATCCAGGGGTTACAGTCACTGCTGCCATAGTGTTCTGGGGCTTCCCAAAGCCTGGTGGCAACCACACAAGTGCCTTCCTGGGGGTTCCTAAGCACAAGCCCTCCTTGTGATCAACCACGTGAGGGTTGTGTTTCCCCAGTTAACAGCAGCAACGTGGCTCTGGGGGAGGCGAGGACAGGCTGAACTGGTCCTGTTGCCATTGCTTCCTGCTCCTTTTCTCCCTGTCTTGAAGGAAACACCTGATGCACCCTGCTCTGCAAGTGTCTGTAAGCGTGGGTTCAGTGTCCTTGCCAGCGGAGTGCAGGAAGTTTTGCTCTGACACCCACTATTTTCCTCAAAACTCCCTATTTTACAAGAAAACGAGGGTCTCCTGCAATGTGCAACCTCCCCTCCCGGGTGGGATGCATGCAGTGGCTCCAGCCCATCCTCTCCAGCTGCATGAGCGCGCGATGTGCACCGCAAACCCACGATTCCTGCTCATCTGTGGTTGTTTTCCCCCTCTGCCCCTGTTCCCAGGTGCACTCCCTGTACCGACGCACGGGAGCCAGCTTCCAAAGGGCACAGGAAGAGTTCTCCCAGGGCATCCTCACCAACAGGAGCTTCCAGACGGCCGCTGCTGGGGCTGCCTCCTCAGCAGCACACAGCGCGTTCCGAGGAAACTAGCCTTTCCCTTGGCTCCCGCTGCCCTCCTCACCCCAACCTCCACTTCTGTTTGGGAAACATGCACTTTTTGGGGGTACCACGTTGTGACGCCGACTCCAGGGGGGAGGAGGCCTGGGTTTTAGCTGCAACCAGCCTGCGTTTGAGGGTGATCGGTTTTCCCTGTCTTGTTTTAGGGTGTGGGGAGATAGGGGAGACATTCTCTGAAGCAAATATATTTCTCTACCCAGGACCTACCATGTGCTTGTGTCTCTTCCTCCCCTGGCCCTGTGTGTAGCAGGGAGGTGAGGGGAAGCAGGACTTTTGTGTTATTCTCTCTTCTCTTGGTCTTTGCTATGGAGAACTTGGTTATCTGCTGTTTAGGGGGTGGTGGTGTAACGTGCATGTAGTTTATGTCCTTAATTTGGAGAGCAGAAACTGTCCTTCTGGTTTACTACACTTAAACGATGCTGTATTTCGGCCTCTTCCCTACTCAGCTGTCTGACAGGCAGGGAACCACGGCGCAAAGGAAAACCTGGGAGCAGGGAGGGGTTAGACAGGAGGGGAAGCATCCTCCTGCTTTCCCCGCTGTGGCAGATCCCCTCTGTACTTCCACCAGGATCTCATAGGCGCTCCTGCGCCCCGGGGAACGCAGGGGGAGAGAAGGGAGCAGCAGGGCTGGGGCTGCGTCTTCACTGCGGCCTTAAACGAGGGGAGGGAGGGCAACAGGGACTTCTTGCCGGGCCAGCTCTGTTGTTTGGGAGCTCGGACACCCCCGGTGCCTGCGCCGCCGGTCTCCCCCCAACCCTGAGAGCCTGCCAGGCGGGAGAGTGCATGGAATTTTCTCCCGGGACAGCCCCTCCCTGCTTCCTCCTCCCACGTGTGAGTTTTCAGCTGGGAACGAACGGCTTTGACGTGGTTTAGTATTATTTGGGGGTTATTTTCCAGCTGGGAACGAGCGGGTTTGATGTGCCCTGAGCTCCCAAGGCCGTGTCCCGAACGGGACATCCCTTTGGGTGGGGATAAGGCGCCCGTTGTGGCTCTCCATCCCCGGAGCGAGGGTTTTAACCCAGGTTTGACTTTGTGCCGTGTCTGTCCCTTCCTGTTTAGGGGGGAAAGTTGCATTTTCTCCCCCCCCCCTTCCCCAAGCGTGTGCCCGGTGCCCTCCTCACCCGGGCACCGGCACTTCCCTCCCTCCTCCCGTATCGTTATTGTCGGGTTTTGTTCCTCATCTTTTCATGTCCAGAATAAAGGTTAATAATAAAATGCCCATGTGCGCACCTGCAATCCCTGCTGCTGCCTGCGGGGGGGGGCGTGGCCACCACCAAAGGGGCGTGGCTAGCACCAAAGGGGCGTGGCCAGGGACCAGCCCTGAGTGCGGGCAGCATCGGGGGCGTGGCTATGGGCAAGGGGGCGTGGCCAGCAGCGGAAGGCGGAAGCGGCGCCGGGGGCCGGGCACCGGGTCCGGTTGGGGCATGGCGGGGTCCGGTTGGGCCCCGCCGCGCCTGGACGGGTTCATCCTCACCGAGCGGCTCGGGACCGGCACGTACGCCACCGTCTACAAGGCCTACAGGAAGGTAGGGCCGGGCCGGGCCCGCTGTGCCCTGCGAGCTCCGTCTCGCAGCCCTCCACGTGGGTGCCAGCCCCATAGCCCCTCTATGGGGGCCTGTCCCGTGTCCCCCCCCGTTACCACCCCCTTGGAGTGTAGACCCCGGCCCGCAAGGGTAGCCGTGAGCGGGGGGGGTGCTCCCGTTGGCAGAGGGACACGCGTGAGGTGGTGGCCATCAAGTGCGTGAGCAAGAGGAGCCTCAACCGGGCCTCGGTGGAGAACCTGCTGACCGAGATCGAGATCCTCAAGACCATCCGGCACCCGCACATCGTGGAGCTCAAGGACTTCCAGGTGGGGCCGGGGGTACCCATGGCTCTGGGGTGCCGCAGGCAGGGCACGCCGGTGTGAGCCGGTTTTCCCCTTGCCTCGCAGTGGGACAGCGACCACATCTACCTGATCATGGAGTTCTGCGCGGGGGGGGACCTCTCCCGCTTCATCCGGATGCGCAGGATCCTCCCGGAGAAGGTGGCGCGCGTGTTCCTGCAGCAGCTGGGTAAGGGCTCCCTGCCCGGGGGCTGGGGTTGGGGAATAGGGGGGTCAGGGATGCGGTGGTGCCCCCCCCCCCCCCCCCATCCCCACTGTCACACCCCCCCCTCTGCCCACCCCCAGCCTGCGCCCTCAAGTTCCTGCACGACCACAACATCTCCCACCTGGACCTGAAGCCGCAGAACATCCTCCTGAGCGCCCCGGAGCACCCGCAGCTGAAGCTGGCAGGTCAGGGCAGCCCCATGGAGGGGTCCAGAGGTGGTGGTGGGGGGGATTCTTTCTGCCTGCTCCCCTCCCCAAAGCTCTCCTGACCCTCTCCCCCTGCAGACTTTGGGTTTGCCCAGTACATGTCCCCATGGGATGAGAAGCACGTCCTGCGTGGCTCCCCGCTCTACATGGCCCCCGAGATGGTGTGCCGGCAGCAGTACGACGCCCGGGTAGACCTGTGGTCGGTGGGGGTCATCCTTTACGGTGGGTGTTTGCTCTTATTCCCCCCCCACCCTCCCAGGGCTCGGTGTGGGGCTGGTTTCCCCCTCTCCATCCCCACATCTCTCCCTTTTCCCCCCATAGAAGCACTCTTTGGGAGGCCGCCCTTCGCCTCCCGCTCCTTCGCTGAGCTGGAGGAGAAGATCCGCAGCGATCGGGCTGTGGAGGTAACGTGGGGTGGGACGGAGCTGGGGGGTCTCACCCATCGCAGGGCCTGTGCTCTCAGCCCCATTCCTTCCCCAGCTGCCCAGCCGGCCCCTGCTCTCCCCGGAATGCCGGGATCTCTTGGGACAGCTCTTGGAAAGGGACCCTTTGAAGCGCATCTCCTTCGAGCGCTTCTTTGCGCACCCCTTTGTGGATATGGACCATGTCCCCGGCCCCGAGAGCCTCTGCAAGGCGGTGAGTGGGGTGCTGGGGGGTGCTGGTCTCTGGGGATGTGGGGCACCAAGCCCTGAATCCCCCCTCATCTCCCCCAGACCGACCTGGTGGTGGAAGCAGTGAAGAAGGATCAGGAGGGAGATGCCTCTGCTGCCCTGTCCCTCTACTGCAAGGCCCTGGAGTACTTTGTGCCTGCTCTGCACTGTGAGTCCCCCCTGAGGGGGTCCTGGGTGTGTTTGGGGGGGGCACAGCACCCCAGGGGTTGCTGGTTTGCACCCCAACCACCCTGACGTTCAGTCGCTCTTCCCCACCAGATGAAAGCGATGCTCGCCGGAAGGAAGCCATCCGGGCCAAGGTGAGATAAGAATCCCTTGTGATGTGGGGACAGCATCCCACCCAGAGGCTGTCCCCATGCCGGGGTCCCCTCACATGCTGTGGGCAGGTGGGGCAGTACATCTCCCGAGCGGAGGAGCTGAAGGCATTGGTCACCTCCAGCAGCAAGACCCTCCTGCAGAGAGAGAACCCGGCCAGAGAGCTCCTTAGAGGTACCGGGGGTTTGGGGGTGTCAGAGCAGGAGGGGGGGCACCCAGTGGGGTTTGGGGCTGAAGGGTGCTCCCCCTTGCAGAGATGGCCAAGGACAAGCCCCGGCTCTGCACTGCGCTGGAGATGGCTTCTGCTGCCATCGCTAAGGTGAGGGGTGGGCTTGCGGTGCCCTCGAGTGGAAGGGGCAGGAGCAGCCCTGTGCGGGGTGGAAGCTGCTGCATCCCCCGGTGCCTGGCAAGGGCTGTCTGGCAGGAGGAGGAGGGCAAGGACGATGCTGACACCCTGGAGCTGTACCAGCAGAGCCTGGGGGAGCTGCTGCTGCTGCTGGCTGGTGAGTTGTGGCCATGGTGGGTGCTGCAGGGGCCGGTCCTGTGCCGGGCACTGGGCTGATGCTGCATCCCTCTTCCTTCTGCAGCGGAGCCTGCGGGGAGGCGCCGGGAGCTGCTGCACGCAGAGGTGAGGAACAGCCTGGGCACGGCCCCGTGTCCCCTTGGGGTGGCTGTGAAGAGACTCGTGCAGACGCTTCCCTCTCTTCCTGTGCCAGATCCAGACCCTGATGTCTCGAGCCGAGTACCTGAAGGAGCAGATGAAGGTATTGCTGCTTGGGGGGGGCTCTGGAGCGTGCTGGAGGGGGTTCAGGCTGGAAGCCTCTCCTCTCCCCTGACAGATGCGGGAGGCACAATCCATGGGCAAGGAAGCGCTGGCAGAGCCCGTACGGAGCAGTGAGTGTCCATCCCCATCCCATCGGAGCCTGCGGTCCTGTGGTGGGGAATGCCCCTACTTGGGGATATTCCTGCCCACGGGTGATCCCGACCCCGCACACCTTTATGCATGCATGGGCGCTGGGAGACAATGGCTTGTGCAGCCCAATGAGTGTCCCCTGTCCCCCGCACAGCCTGTACCTTGCAGTGATGCCCGGAGCCGGCCGCCGGGATGCTGCTCACCCAGGGAGGATGGAGGGGGTGACGAGGCTTTCATCCTGCCTGCACTGGGGTAACCGCCTTGGGGAGCTCCCCTGCTCGGGTGGGTCCGCAGGGCCATGTGCCTGCTTCCCTTCCCGACAGGCGGGATCCCCTCCAGCCCTGGTGTGCCGTTATTCCACCCTAATTCCCTCCGCTGGCTGCCACGGGTGGGTGTTGTTATCCTGGCACCGCCTCCGGCAGGATAACCCCGCATCCTGCCCGTGCGGCTCCTGTCTCTTCTTCCACCTCCCGCGTCCTCCTGGGGGGGCCCTGAGCACCGCACAGCCCCACTGGTGGGGCAGGCAGCAGGGCTCGGCACGCTGTGCCTTTCTCACCCAGCAACTACCTCTCTGCGCCCATCACCGCGCCTCCGGCCTCCATGGCCCGGCCGGCCCTCCCTCCTGCTGCTCCTCAACCTGTGCTGGGGGCTGGTGGGTACCGACTGCGCTTTCATCTGTGCCGTGAGGGGTCAGTGCTCAGTGGGCAGGGTGAGAGCTCTTGGGGCTCTCACAACCCCAGCAGCCCACTTACATCCCCAGACCACCCCCAAGTCCTGCTGAATCACTTCGGGTGCTGAGGTCGCCTGTCCTGCAGAGCAGGGGCCCTCCTCCCTGTCTGCTGCACTGCAAAGGGAATGTAATTTATTGTCTCAAATAAACACTTGGTTTGGGTTTCTCCATCTCCTCCTGTCTCAGGTTTGTGCTTTAACCCCAAAGGGAGCTCCAAGACCATGACCCAGCCCGGGGTGCCTGGAGCCAGACCCCTCGTCTCTGTGCCTCTGGCCAAGAGCGGAGCTGGGGCATCCCCTTCCCTCCTCTCCTCCCAGCTCCCGTCCTCCCTGGGGACATGAGGCAGCCAAAGCCAGCCTTGACCTTGTTTTCACTTCAGATCCTTTGGGTTCTGTCAAACACGGAGCAGAACAACACGAAAGGTTACGTAAAATCACGTTTTCTCCACTCGGTTGTTGTGGCTGGTGAGGGACAGGGGGGTGTGGGGACGGATTGGGGTCACTTTGGGGTGTCCCAGGGCTGGTCTGAGCCAGGATCCCAGCAAAGCTCCTCCTGAGGCTGCCTTCACCCCAGATGCTACCCCATAACGTGGCTTCTTCCCCCCTCCATCCCCAGCCTTTAGTCCTTATCCATCTGCTCCGTGCCGGGCAGCTGGGGGAAGGCATTTCCATGTCTTTATTATTGTTATTATTATTATTGTGAGCACAGATTATTCCCTGAGGCTTTAAAGCGCTTCCAAAGCCCCTGCCCTCCCCGGCCTGTGGCGAGCGCAGAGCCGCTGGGGACGGCGGCACCGCAGCCGGGGCGGATAATCGCATCTGCCTTTCCGCTCTGCCGAAGACACGGATGAATCCGGAGCTCTGGAAGCAGGAAGAGGCTCCGGGGGTGCCGGAGCTTGGAGAGGGCGATGCCCCGGCTTTGTGTTGGGTGGATGGATCCCGATTAACCCTGGTACCTGGAGCAGCAGCGGCGTGACGCTGCAGCGGGATGGGAAAGGGTTCAGTGGAGATCCCGCATCATGCCGTGCTGGTTCGTTTGGTTCAGTGCTTAATGACTGCTCATTTGGGGAAAGCACTTGCTCACCAGTGGAAAAGAGGCCTGATCCTGCTCTGTAGGATGAGGGCCTGTTCCACAGCTGGTGCTGGAAAGCAGGAGCTCTGTCCGCAGTGATCCTCTAGCATCCAGCTTGAGGAATCACACCAAACCTGGCCTCATAGGTGAGGGAATTCTAGAGAGGTTTATAGCACAGCAAAGGAAAATCTGGATCTTTCCTGCTTTAATCCACACTCATTCTTTGCTTTGAGTTTTCCAGGCTGCGTGTTGATGCCCGGAGCAGTCGTATGGCGTGCAGGCAGCCGGGATGCTCGGCTGCAGGGAATGACAGCAGACAGGATGCGCGTCGCGCTGGGCAGGAGGCGAGCTGCCTGCGCTGCTCCCCCCCCATCCCAAACTGCCCTCCCTGGCACAGCACCGGGCTCGGAGCATCCTTGGAGCTCCCGCCAGGAATGGGGAGGAGCGAGGGCTGCGCTGCTGCTTTGCTTTCACATGCCTGGGGGTCATGGAGCCTCCTAAAATAAACCCGGGCAGCTTCACGCGGCCTTTGCGTGGCAGCACGTGGGCTGGGAGCGTAAGGGGGGCACATGCACCACCGGGGGCTGCGCTGCTCACCTGGACCCAAGGGCTGCATCCCGCATCCCTCCCGCATCCCTCCCGCTGCTCCAGAGGGGTGTTTTACTGATCAGGGCCTCGCCGTCAGCCTGGGATTTAAAAGCCAAGCCATGCCGGAGGGCTCGGCTTGGTCCTGCTATCGCTTTCCTGGGGGGGGGGGATTAGATGAGCTTGGGCTCATCCTCATCAGGTATGATCCTTTTCTGGAGCTAAAGCTGCTGCTGCCCATATTCCCCCCTTCTTTTCTCTGTGTGGGGCTGGGTTGGAGCAGATGTCCTCAAGGTGGTGTTGGGCCCCTGTGGGGCTGTGATGATGTGAGTCCCCATGGGTAGAGCATCCTTCGTGGGCTGCCTCTGTCCATCCTGGCAGCCAAAGCAGTGCCTGATGTCCTCTGAGAGGTGACTGCCCCATCCCTGGCAGTGTTCGAGGCCAGGCTGGACACAGGGGCTTGAAGCAAGCGGCTCTACTGGAAGGTGTCCCTGCCCGTGGCAGGGGTTGGAACTGGATGAGCTTTAAGGTCCCTTCAACCCAAACCAGGCTGGGATTCTGTGGAAACCTCTGGTTTTGGAGGGTTTCAGGCCCCAGCATGGCAGTACCAGGGATCTGTGGGCAGGAAGCAATCTCCTGGCTGTACCAGGGAGCTTTGCTCAGCCCCACATGGCCTGATCCAGCATCCTTGACTGCAGCAAGGACAAGTAACCATCCCCAGCTTCCCGCAGCCTCCCTGTGTTCTCCTGCCTGACCCAACTCCCCTGCCAAAGCAAATCACGGTTAATCCATCCCCGCCGCTGGGATGTGGAGCAAGACATTCCCAGCCGGTGCCAAGTGTTTCCCAGGAAGGCTGCTGCAGGCGCCCACCTCCCCTGCCGGGATGCAGCCAGGCTGGAGCTGCTCCAGCTTGGACGTGTATTGGGCAAAGCTGTGTCCTTGCTCGGAGCAGTGCCACGGACACCCCGTGAGGCTGAGGCCGTGCATGAGCTGAAGGCTTTTTACTCAAATAGCCCCAAATCTGTGGGATTTGGGGGTATTGTTGGCTTTTAAACCCATCTGCTGACAAGAAACCTCTTGTAGCATCCCTTTGGTGCAAACCATTGCAAAGCACCCACCCGGAGCCCAGCGAGCTGCTCCCTGCTGGGTGATGCTGCTGGAGGTCTCCCCTTTGAGCCGCCAGCCCCGCTCCCCCTGCTCTGCAAAGGGGATGCCCTTGATCTCTCTGCACCCGAGGCGAGCACTGCTCAAGGACGGGCAGAAGTGCATAGACATCTCCTGGTATTTATTCCACCGGTTACAACTGTACCATGGCACGGGGACAGCAGAGGAGGTGGAGAGACACTCGATGAGCACAGCGCACAAGTACAGCACGACAGGGGAGGAGGAGGAGGAGGAGAGATTCCCTTTCCACTTTGTTCTCCTGGAAGGAACAAGGACACGAGCGGCTCCCACCCCGGGGAAGGGCTGGTGTGGGCTCCCATGGGCACCGGGGAGCGGGGTTTATTCCTCTCTGGCATCAATTCAGGCTCCATCCCTCCGGTCCTCAACACCCCCTTCCCGCTGGGCTGACTGGGATCGTATAGCAGGTCCTTCCCAGCTGACTCCTTGCGGAGGGGCCCTCAAGGGCAGTGCTTGGTGTCTCTTGCCCATATGGAAGGTTAACTCGCATCTCCCACCATGCAGAGCAAACCGGAGCCTCCCCATCATTCCAGGAGGCAGGAACCCGGCGCCTGGGCACCGCTCTGCGGGAAAGCCTTTGCCTTCCCATGCTGATGTGCTTCAATGACACCCCAAGGTCACTCCGGGCTTTCCTTCCCCGCTCTCCCTAGGGACACCCGCTGCCGGGCACAGGGGTGGGATGGGGCACAGGGGAACATGCTGCCTCTCGGCTCTAACCTCGGACCGGAGAACAGGACAACAGCCACACACCAGGGACACCTGGGGCAGGGGTTGAGGCAGGAGGAGGACCCGGCTCTGCGGGACGAGGGGGGCAGCATCAGTGGGGTCCCCGCTGCAGGCGGCACCGCTCGGCTGCCCCCCTCCCTTCCCATCCTGCCGGCGGGGAGCGGGGCTGCTGCCACCTCACATCATGGAGCACTTCTCAGCCGACTGCTTCAGGTCCTCGAGCGTGGCCGAGGCTTTGTCCTTCAAGGAGTCGAGGTCCAGGTTCTGGATGTTGCTGAGCTGGCCGATAACCGAGTTCTTCTCCTCCTCCTCCTCGTTGTCCTGCTCGATCATCTTGGCCAGCTCCTTGGGCAGCTCCACGTCACCTCCCACCAGCTGGATCTGGTTGTCATCCGTTTCGTTCTGTAATGGGCAAGGGGGAGGTCAGGGGGTGGCACAGGGGGGCTCTGCAGGCGCTGAGGGCACGTGAAGGGCTCACAGTGCTCCAGAGCGTGGGCTTTGAGCTGTCTCCCTGCACTCAGGTCCATGTGGGATGGTCCCTGCGGGGTGCCAGCCACGCTCGTGCTGTGGGTAGGATGCTGACCCCGAGGGGATGCGGGTGAGCAGAGCCTGGGCGCACACCAAGGGACCCCAGGGTGCAAGCATTGGTGTAAACTGGCGCTGGGGAGGTTTAGCACCCGGTTAAGTTCCACGTACACTCAACGGCTGTGCCCACGGAGAGCAGGGCTACAGAGCCACAGGGAGGCACGGGAAGAGGCAGCCGGGCTGCCAAGCAGCATCAGTGATGAGCAGAAGAAACTTGTCAGAAGATGAGGACATCTCCAGCATGGAAAGGATAAGGATCGGGGGCCAGAGCTGAGCTAATCCCGCTTTCCCCCGGAGAGCAAAGGGAATCTCGGTCCCGTTCTGCCTTTTCTCGCTTTTGGCAGGGGAAAGATTCCTTTTCCAGCTGTTTATTCCATGGCAATACAAGGGGTGTTTGGAGCAGGGGGTGCTGAGCACTAACAAATAGTCTGAACAATGCCACTTGGCTGGGCAGACCTTTCCCAACTAATATTAGCCTGGCTCCAATTTAGAGTATTCACCACTGAGGCTCCTGCTGAATGAATGGGGGGTTTGGGGGGGAGAAGAGCTTGTAGCAGGTCCAAGAATAGCTGAATTCTGCCTTGATTGGATTGTTCCTGGTGAATCGTTCATCACCAGAATGGAAACTCCAAAACAGGGCTTTAGGTAGGAAGTGTTTCCCAAATAATCCGGGCAGAGGAGAGGGCTAATCCAGCCGGGAAGGTGTAATTCCAGCTCCGATCCCAGCTACAGGGCTGAGAGCCCGGGGTGACGGCTGCTTCCCCTCATCCAGCTGGGTTTAGGGAGCAAAAGAGAGGAAGATGGGGATGAAGCACGGCTGAGGGGGTGCTGGGGGTCCCTCTGTGCGGGTTGCGGTGCTCAGGGGTGACTGGAAGGGGCCAGGGTTCACATGGGAGGGTGCTTTGGGGGGAAACTGGTTTGCATTTGGGCTTTGTAGTTCGGAGCCCCCCCCCCCAGCCAAGAGCTGTGGTGCCTCTTCCCCATGCACAGAGCACCCCACGGCTCTGGGGTGCCCCCCCCCATGCCCAGCAGGGCAGTACCTTGGGGAGCCTGTACTTGTCTCGGAAGTGGGACCTGACCGTGGCTCTCTCCGCCTTGCGCTGGGCAAACTGGGCATCCCTTTCCATCCTGTGAACCACAGGGGGCAGTTACCGGGGTCTGAACATTCCCCCCCCCCCCCAGCCCGGGTACCCCCCATCCCCTCCGCAAAGCCCCATTTCCCCACCACTTCCTCCCCTCCCAGTGCATCCCGAAAGGAGGAAACAATCCCATCTCCCGGGCGAGGAAGCGGATTAAGGGATTAGGGGGTTCATTAGAGTCCCTCATAGCCCTGCTGTCCCCAGCGCTGTCCGGCCCCCCCCCCCCCCCCAGGCTCCAATGCGTGGGGCTGCAGAGGGGGCACCCCACACCCCGGTGCCCGCCGCAGGGCTCACTTACTTCTCCTCCACCAGCTGCCGCTGATATTCCTCATACTCCTCCCGGGTCATTCCCTGCGCCTCGGCCGGGGACTTCTCGCCCTCGCTCTTCTCCTCGCCGCCCAGGCCGCCCGTCAGGTTCTTCAGCTGCCCCCCCACCATGCTCTTCACCATGAACGCCATGGTCGCGGTCCCGGGGGGAGCAGGGGTGCCGGGGAGATGGGGTGCTGGGAGACCCGGGGTCAACGGGGAGATGGGGTGCAGGGGTCAGGGTGGGGATGCACAGTCAGGAGGAGCCGAGGTATACTCGGTGCTGGGGTAGCGGGAGTTACCGGAAAGCCGGGGAGATGTGGTGCGGATCCCCGGGGATCAGGAGTACGGGGTTATTGAGGAGCCAGGCTCAGCGGAGCCGAGTCCCGGAGCGCCGGAGCACGGGGTTACCCGGGAGCCGGGATGCTGTGGAAGTGAGTTCCCGGAGCACCGGATTACCGGGGAGCCGGGGTGCAGCGGCGCCGAGCTGCTGGGATGCTGGAGTACGGGGTGATTGAGGAGGCGGGGTGCAGCGGAGCTGAGTTCAAGGGATGCCGGAGCCCGGGGTTACCCGGGATGCTGCGGGGTGAGTTCCCGGCGTTACTGCGGAGCCGGGATGGAGCAGAGCCGAGTTCCTGGGATGCGGGGCACGGGGTGATTGAGGAGCCGGGGTGCAGCGGCGCCGAGCTCCCTCTCTGCCGGGTCCCCGCTCCGGTGCTCAGCGTGTCCCCATGGCGGGGCCGGGGCCGGGGCCGGGCGGGCGCTGCAGCACCGTGCCGCGGACAGCTCCGGTGTGTGCGGGGCGGCAGCACCGCCCCGGCCCCGGCCCCGGCCCCGGCCCCGCCGCCCCCCGCCAGGCAGAGGCGGAGCCGCCGCCGCCGCCACCGCCCCCCCGGCCCCAGCCCCGGGGGATGCCGTGAGCTCCGCCCGACCCCCGCACCCCGAGCCCGGCGTCCCCCTGCGCCCATGGCCGGCAGCGGGCACAAGGAGCGAGGCGCTTCTCCCGTCTGTCCCCATCGGCCTGGTGCGGCGGGGGAAAAGCCGGATTTAACACCCTGTGAAAGCCATATGTGCCGTGCACAAGGAGCAACTGTTGTTTGCTTGTAGAGCTAAGGGCTGCCGTGCCCAAACCCTTCTTCCTCTCATTCCTACTAATGGTATTAACTGCCATTAAAGCTCACACCCGCTGATGTGCAACCCAGGGACCCACGCGTCCATCGGTCGCCTAAATCAATAGGCTGAGGCCAGAGCAGGCATTGATTTCGTTGTGTAATTCCCTCGGCCCCTCCAGCTTTCCTGGCTCCCATCCTGCCCCCACTCCCACTTCCCACTCCTGCAGTCTCCCTTGACTGCAGCCATACCAGGGGCCTTAGGGAGTGAGCAATTAATGGCATCAGAAACGCACCTCCCTTCCAGATGGCCAGCCTGGCTTTCACGGGCATTTCTCCCTTTTTCCCTTCTCTGCTCATGAGAAAACCAGCGCGGCTTCAAACCCCAATCCCGGCTCCGGGAAATCATCGCATTGCCCAAATTTAAGAGAACCTCTGCAGATTAAAAATGCTGGAACAGCTGTGAGGCGATGAAGTGAAGGAGGGAGGGGGAATGGGGCCATCTTTTCCCTTCCCCCCTCGCCCAAGGTGGCACCAGGCAGAAACGTGGCTTAAAGGGAAACTAAATCGGGAATAAATCCCATATTTGTCTTGGCTATTTTCCCTGGCGTCCCATTGGAAACAGCGTGTCCAAGTTCTGGCTGTCCATCAGCCAAGGACTGGGGGAAAGAGGGGCAGAGGGCAGGAAAAGCACCCCAGCTCGTGTCCCATGCCCAGGGCAGGCTTGAGCCCTGGGCTGGTTCAGAGCAGGCTCTGGATGCGGCTGGTCCCGGGTGCGTTGCTCAGGCCGGATTTCTGTCTAAGCAGTCACTAACAGCAAGAGACTTGAAGTCAGGACCGATTTTTTCCAGCTGGGTTGGATAGGTCAGCTCCCCTGTAGCCTCCCTGTCTGAGACGGAGAGGAAGCAGCTCGTGATGAGCAGCAGTGCTCGGCCAAGGCAGCTAGGTGAAAATGAGCATGTGAATACCTGCACGGGGTACGGAGCTGCTTCTATAGGGATGCAGCAAAGGGCAAAAGGAGCTCTTGCAGCTGATGGAAGCTCTCCAATCCCTCTGGCTCCTTGGCCCAGGCTCTTTCCAGAGGGCCAGTGTCCCATCTGGAGGCAGATAGAGGAGAAAGGGCCTTCGGAGGGTTGGGAATGCTTCAAGGTAGTTGATTTCCCCATCTGCTCTTCTTCGGGCAGCTGAACTGTTCCTTATCCCCTCAATATATTCAAGTCAGAGTGAGTCATCCTCCCTGCCAGGACTCTAACCTGCAGTAATGAGATGTAAATCCTTGCATGACCTATTATATTAGCTTATGCTATATCACACATCTGCCTGGATTAGACGGGAGGGAGATGAAACGTCCCCCGGTAGCAGCCAGCCTCAGACAAGCCGGTGGAAGTTAAGAGGATCCTCTCTCAGCGTTGACACCTGATTTGAATAGGATGCAAGCAGTTTGGTTTCCTCCGCCACGGTGAGAGGGATCATTTCAGCTCTCCTTGCCAGGTAATAGGAGAACTGGCTCCAAAGCAGCAGCTGGATGCTCTCCCCTCATGCAGGGCTCTATGTGATGCTCCAGAGATCCCTGCAGGGGACCAGAACTGACCAGGATTCCTCCCATCACTGCCACATCGGGGCAGCAGCCGCCTGCTCCGGGCACAGGGATAAGGCACAGTGACATCCATCCGTGATGGTGGCAGCTGGGGTGGAGCTGGGAGCTCAGCATCCGCCAGGCGGGAGCTCTGGCCAGTGGTAGAGTGGCCTTGGGGACAGTGGGGAACACCTGACCCCTTTCTTGGAGGTCCCCAGCAGCAAAAGAGCAATAGAACAGGCTCTGATTACACTTTAATACTAATACTGATACCGATACTAATACTGATGCTAATGCTAATACTCTGAGCTGAAACAGAGAGAGCTGGTGTAGGTGTGTTGTGTGCCCTTATTGGTTCAATCAGCTCCTCTCTGTAAACTCCTTTAGCTGTAAGAAGGCAACTATCACTCCGTGACAGCTATGAAGAAGCTGTTAAGAAGATACTGAGGTGCTGAAGTGCTGAGGTCAAATGCAGTGGGATCTTGTGAGGGAGAGCTTGGCCAGAGGGTCCTGGAGCTGTCTGGAACCATCATGAGCTTCAGCTGCCAAGAGCTCAAGAGAAAATATCATAGAATATAGCTAGAACATAATAGAAGCATGGAATGATTTGTATTGCAAGGACCTCAAAGCTCATCTAGCCCCAACCCCTGCCATGGCAGGGACCCCTTCCACTAGAGCAGCTTGCTCCAAGCCCCTGTGTCCAACCCAATCTGAGCTCTTGACATAACATCCCTTCAAAGGGCAGCGGGTTCCCTTCTGCCCAGCAGTCGCAGGGGTAAAAGTGCTGCTGTGTCACCAATACAGGGAATAGAGCAGGGTAGGGAGAGGGTGGTGTAAATGATCAAATGAATGACTTCCTTTCGTCGTACTCGGATGTAATTCAATGAAGTGAAATGCATCTGGAGTTTGCCTTGGCTGCGGAAGGTGCAATGCAACGCAGCATGGTGTGGAAATGAAATCAAAGCTGCCTTGTCATGACCTAGGGAAGCCATTTCCATGTGAAACATTCCAACTCCTATAGAACCAAGCCTCTGAGGGCCAAAAATCTGTTGTCATCGCCTAAGACGAGGTCCCAAAGGGGGGAGGGTCATTTCTCTTCTTATTTGATGCTAAGCCTTCGTTTTACTCAAGGAGAGTGGTTTACCACGTAGGCTCTGTCACACATCATGAACACTTACTCCTTTTCAAGCCCCCTCGTGTTTAATTGCATCCCGAGCTGTGGGGTGGCAGCAGAGCTGCCCTCAGCGTGGACATCACTGTCTGTGCTCAGGAGGGAGAAGTCGCAAGGTCCTTCACAGGGTCATGCCCATCTCCTCTCTAGAAATACAAAATACTTTTACATTATTACAGTATTTTTACTTTATTACAGTCTTTTTACATTTCTAGCATTTTTTTGATAATGAATGATAGACATAGCTTGATAATGGCCCTGGGCTGGCCTAGCAGAGCATCCCCTCTGTGGGACCTGGGAAGGGAAGCTGGGATGCTGCTGAGATCTCCCCAAATTCCCTCTGATCCCCTTTATATCATCATGGGGCTGAGCACGGGTTGCCCAGACTCAGTGTTTGAGCGCAGGATTTCTTTGTGTGGGATGGGAATGGCCCTGACGGGGCTGTGCGAAGGGACAGGCAGCCTCTGCCCAAGGGATGCAGGCTTTGGGATGCTGCGGGCGCATCCCCAGAAGAGGAGGGTGACGAGGCACGGGAGGAGGTCACAGCACAGGCCAGGGTGGTTGTGACCCCTGCCCGAGGAGCCATGCTGTTTGTGGGGGTGAGGAGGAAGAAGAGGGAGGTGATCGGGGTGCGGGTTGGCAGAGCCTGCACCCAAGCAGTGACACAAATCCAGCCGGACAGACACACGGAGCATGTAAACAGGCACATGGGGACACCATGTGCTGCCTCGGTGCAGAGCCAGCCCGGAGCAAAGGCACACGCCAGCCGGAACACACACACACACGCACAGCTTTCCCACGGGGGATCTTTCCAGCCTTGCCTTCATTTCCTGGAGCGCTCCGAAGGAAAAGGCAGAGCGGGATGAGGTGAACGGCGCGGAGCCGTGCTGGGAACGGCTTTGTGCTATAAATAGTGCTGGTGATAAAGGCAGGCGTGTGGGAGGGGGGGGACGGACGGACGTGCGGGCAGGGCACAGATGCCAGGGCTCTGGAAGCCCGTGCATCAGGGATGGAGCAGAAGGAGCCTTGTCCGGCCATCATGGGAGCGGGTAGCTTGCTCCCAGCAGCACTGAGTTAGGCATTAGGGCAGCTTGGGAGGGGGCACCGTGCACCCCTTTCTCTTGGGATGGATGCTTTGCAGCCCTGGGAAATGGGAAGCAGCGAGGAATTGCAGCTGGAATTGCGCTGGGAACAGATGGGCGCTTCGGTTCCCTTTGAAGTTTGTTGAGGGAGGGGAAGGCTCCCTGCACCCCTGGGGTAAGGGGGGAAGGCAGGGCTGGGATGTAGGGAAGGGTCAGAGCTAAAGGTCAGAGCATCTCTGCTGGGAGCAGGGATGGGACAGGCTGCTCCAAGAGGCAGCAGGAGGAAGCAGGTGAAGGAGCCGGGATAGGGAAGGAAAAGCAAAGCTCCTTCTGCCCCAGAGCCAGGGGCTGGTTCGCAGGAGCTGTTTCTCCTGGCAAGCCGTGCGGCAAAGGCAGAGGGAGAGGCAAAGCAAGTCCCTTTGTGCCGTGTCACGGGCACCCCGGCGCTCAGCAGCCATCACTCCCTGCCTGCTGCTGATGATTCACACTGAGAACTTGAGGCAGGATGGGAGCTGACACAACTGGGCCCAGTGCCCATCTCCCTGTCGCTGATGGGAAGAGGAGGAGGAGGAGGAAGAGGGGACATGTTGTGAGCCAGCACCCGAGGGACACAGCAGCCCCCGGGCATCACGCAGGAGCCGGCAGCCTGGATCCCCCCGAGGCTGCTGATGGGTTCAGAGATGATGGGAACAGCCCCCAGTCCCTAAGGAGAAAGCACCTTGTGGGATACAGGCTGTCCTTGGCTGGGCATCAATGGGCAGCAGCCCAGAGTGGGGGAGACCCAGCGACAGGAGTCAGGAGCAAACAGCCCTGCATGGGGGAACCGAGGTACAGGGGCTGGCATCAGGAGAGGCTTGGCAGGGCTCAGCCTCCTTCCTGCAGTGAGAAGGATTTCTTACAGCAGCCCCTGAGGATGCCATCATGGCACCAAACCCCTCCAAAGCTCCCCTCTGCCCATGGGACTGATGAGCACAGACCTGGCAGTCGATGCCATTTAGAGGAAAACCCAAGGTCTGGCTGAGTTCTGGGTTAGGGTTTCGCCACCATCACAAGAAGGTGCTGGGTATAGCTCACCATTTCAACAGCATCTTCCTTGCAGGCTTTGCCTGTAAATGACTTTAATCTTCATAAGCCCCAAAAGTAAAGCTGCTTATATGGCTGGGGCCTGCTGGAGCACTAGGAGGAATGGGGGATGCAGGGGTTAGCCCAGGGGAAATAAAACCTGCGGTGGATCAAGCCGCAGCACATCCCTGTCCTGTCTCAGGGGCAGGAGCACTGGACTGCCACAGGTACCACTGCTGTGTCACTCCATCCTCCTTCCCACCCCGACCTCAGCCATACCTGCTCTCCCAGTGCTTCCTATTTTTCCCTCGATCATTCCTGCCAAGAGGAATCTCAGTCTCCATCCTCACCCAAAGCAGACCCAGAACTCCTGACTCCAGTTTGCGCAGCCGGTAAAGCTGATGCCCTGCGCATCGTTTAACACTGAATAATTCTCTGTGGATAAAGGGAACTGTCAGAATCCTGCCAGACACCACCTCCATCCTTCAAGGCAGCAGGGACTCCATAGGGACACCTCCTTCAGGGTGCAGGATCTGGGGAGTCCCAT